TGGGGAGTTTGTTCCATAATCACGAGGCTACCACTCGAAAGGCCCTCTCTTGTGGACTCACCAGATGAAATTCTTTAATTGATGGGACATTCAGGAGGGCCTCTACCTGTGATCTTAATTGCTGGGCATGAATATATGGAAGAAGATGGTCCTTCAGATACCGGAATCCAAAGCCATGTAGGGCTTTGAATGTCAAAACCAACACCTTGAATTGGGCTTGGGAGTGGATCGGTAGCCAGTGTAGTTGCTGTAGTATTGGGGTCACATGCTCCTGATAGGTGGCCCTGACCAGTGATACTATGGTGGTGGTGGGGGGTCTATTATAGACCATCAAGCCAGGCAGATGACTTGGATGATGCGCTCCTATACCAGATTACAAAATGTTCAAGAGATGGGACATAGTGGTCATGGGAGATTTCAGTTACCTTGATATCTGTTGGAAGGCAAACTCTGTTGAAAATGAAAGGTCTAATAAATCCCTGACTTGTCTTGCTGACTTAATTTTCCAGAAGGTGGGGAAGGAAACAAGGGGGTCTACTGTCTTGGACTTGATTCTCACAAACAGGAAAGAGCTGGTTGATGAGGTGAAAGTAATAGGCACCCTAAGTAATTTTGGAATATAAGATCTGGGGGAAGGGAAAAACTGGATGTAATCAGGCATATAGGTTGGAATTTAGAAAAGCAAATTTTAATCAACTTAAAGTTTTGCTGGGTAGAATCCCATGGTCACAGATATTCAAGGACAAGGGAGTTCAAGAGGGGTGAGAGGTTCTTAAAAGCAAATCCAATGAGAAGGAAAAATGGGAGAAACCTAAAGCTCCATAAACAGCTTTCTAAAGATCTGGGAATTGAAAAAAGACACATTTAGGAAATGGCAGGAGGGCCATATAAGCAAGGATGAATATAATAGAAAACCTAATGCTCAATATGAGCTTAGGCTAGTGAGAGATGCTAAACATAACAAAAAATGGTTCTTTGGTTATGATTGGAGCAAGAAAAAGAACAAGAAAGTGGTAGGCCCATTGCAGGGAGAGGAAAGTGGAATTTTAACAGGTGTGACGAAGAGAGGGCAGAACTGCTCAATTGCTACTTTGCCCTGGTCTTCTCTTGCAAGGGAAATAGTGCTCAACCTAGCAAAAAGAGAACACATGATGAAGGAAGAGAGTTGCAGTCTAGGATAGGCATAGGGATGGTAATGGCAGTATTCGACATGGTTGACTACAATCTTATGACCACTGCCTCACTGACATAGGAGTTTGGGGGACTGCTTTACAATGGTTTTCCCCCTTTCTCCATGGTTGGGGACAGAGGGTGGCACTTGGCAAGCAGATCTCCCCATGATACCCACTTGACTGTGGAGTGCTGCAGGGGGCGATCCTCTTGCCAATGCTGTTTAACATCTACACGCGGCCCCTCACCCAGTTGGTCCGAGGGTTTGGGCTGGGCTGTCACTAATAGGCAGATGACACCCAACTCTATGTGTTGTTGGATGGCTGCCTGGACTCCGCCCCAGAGGACTTGGCCAGGGCACTGGAGGGCGTGGCTGGGTGGTTGTAGCAGAGCCGGTTGAAACTTAATCCAGCAAAGATGGAGGTCCTGTACCTGTGCAGGGTGTGTGTTTAAGTCAGGAAGCAGGCTTCCAACCTTGGACAGCGCATCACTTGTGCCGGCCCAGAAGGTGAAGAGCCTGGGAGTGATCCTGGATGCCTTACTTTCCGTGGAGGCCCAGGTCAACGCAGTTGCCAGGTTGGCCTTTTATCATCTTTGGCAGATCAGGCAACTGGTACCCGAGACTTGACTATGGTGACCCATGCAATGGTCACTTCCAGGCTTGATTACTGTGGGCTTGCCCCTGAGACTGATCTGGAAACTCCAGCTAGTGCAAAGTACGGTGGCATGCCTGCTGACTGCATCGTCTGTGTGGGCATGCATTCAGCCAGTGCTACACCAATTGCACTGGCTACCAACTGAGTACCAGATCCATTTCAAGGTGTTGGTACTGACTAGGGTTGCCAAGTCAAAAAAACTCACTGGCGGGGGAGCCTCACCAGGCTCCGGGAGCTGTCTCCGGATGCGCACGGGCGCCGCCAGCGCATCACCAGAAGTGACGCGCGACGTCGACCACGTTGAGGGCGTGGCCCCGATCGTCGGAGGGAAAACCATAGAGTTTTTCCTCTGATGATCCGGGCCATGGCCCCAACGTGGTCGACGTGGTTGTGTCACCTCTGGTGACGTAGCCATGCTGCGCTTCGGGGGGCGGAGTTCCCCCCGGGGCCCAATTCCGCGGCAGTGGAAATCGGGCCTCCAAAGCGAGGGTTTACCCGCCCCCCTGCCCCCACTTGGCAGCCCTATTACTCACCCTCAAAGCCCTGTGGAGCCTGGGACCGACATGTCTGAGGGATCACCTCTCCCCATATGTGCCCTGGAGAGCGTTGTGCTCAGCCGATCAACATCTGCTGGTTGGCCCTGGCCCAAGAGTTGTTTGCTTAGCCTAGACTAAAGCCAGAGGGTTCTCTGGCCTTACCCCGGCCTGGTGGAACATGCTTCCACTTGAGATCAGGGCCCCGTGGGACCTTCTATACTTCTACAGGGCCTGTAAAATGGAGGTATTCCACCAGTCCTTTGGATGAGGCGGTGGGCATCCAATAAAGTTGGCCTCCCTTGCTGAAGCTCTCCATCTCTATGTGGCCCAGATTTTTAGTGGCCCAGCGACTCCAGCTTCTGAGACTATTGCACTTTAATTGATATAGCTACCTGTTTTAATTCATATGGTTTTAACTGTTTTAACTACTGAATTATTGTGTTTATATTATTTTATATTGTTGTTGTTATCCGCCCTGAGCTTGTTCCTGGGGAGGGTGGAATAAAAGTCAAAACAAACAAACAAAGGAACTTGCTGATGTAATTTTGGAACCTATGCCCAATATTTATACTTTTAAATTCCATAAATATAACAATAGCACAATTTTCTATGGTAATTAAGTTATAAATTATGCATTTAACATTGTTAAATCCATAAAAGAAGTTTAGTTTTGACAGGAAGGTAAGCGTTGCTTCTGGAAATTTTACATCTCTTTTCACTGTACTATTGTTATAGCAAAGTACTATCCTTGTAAGAAGAGCGTATAACAAGCATATAAGTGTTTCTGTGCTCAGATATGAAGAGCTGACTTTTCACATTAAACAAAATTTGATTCTGTTCATTCTTAAAGTGTGTGAACGCTAAGCTAGATAGCTGCAAAGTGTTTTGAACAGATTATTAAACGAGAAGTCCTGTAGTGAAGGATTTAACTGGTGAAGGATTTTAATTTTGTAACTCTGTAGTAGTGTCTTTTGTACAAAGCATCTAGAAGTCTAAATGGTTATTCTGACTTCACGGAAGGTGGCCACCTTACTGGGCAGGTCAGTTTATGAGAAGCTGCAGCTACTCCTGCAAATAGACCACCAACCAGAAACTGCTTTTGTTTTACATTTTGTTATACTGTGGTTGTATGTGTTCTGGCCGCACTGATTCTCTGCATGAGAAGGGAACTGATATGGTGAAATGATACTAAGCACTCGTCATCACCAGAGGAATGAATATAACAGGGAAGGCGGTTTGCAACCTTTTACCTATGTGCTGCCTCCACGCTTCTTGGTAGTGTTGCCAGGTTCCCACTGGGGGCCCGGGATCTTCCCATTGCCTGGCACTGCTCACCTGGGTAACAGGAGGAACTGCTCAGACAAAATGGGGGAGGGGGTGAGAAAGGCATCCCTGGTGTGGTGATGATGCTTCTTCTGGTGCAACCTGGAAGTGACATCATCATTCCTGGCGATGCTCTAGAATTTGTCAAAACAGTTCGGGGCGAATTTTGAATTCTAGAACATCAATCCTGGCATGATGCTGTCACTTCTGGGTCCCACTGAAAGTTACATCATTGCACTGGAGATGCTGATTGCCCTCCAGTGGCAGTCCTCGCCTCCCCCATCTTTTGTCAGTTACCAGGTTGTGCCTGGCAATCCTGCTTCCTAGTTTGGTATCCATGGTCTTCTTTCTGCTAGACACCAACCCAAAGTTACATGTGCACATATTGTGATTTGCTAGCTGAATGTAGTCGATCAGTTGTAGGTTTTGTGCTAAGTCAGAACCAATGACTGAGAAGTACATTCCATTGACATAAACAGAACTTGCTACATTCAGATAATTGAGCTTTTAAGAACTTGCATTGTTGCTTGCTACCATAGTTTTGATCATTGCTATAAATGCTGATATTTTTGGAAGTAACTGTCTAGGGTGACGTTTAGAATTAGAATACAGAGCACGTGGGGAAATGGACTGCAGCAGCAATATAGCACTGGCACGGTTTGTCCATGTTGTGCAATATTTGTTCAAGCATTACAGCATTTGATTGGCTTATACGGGGGGTGGTGTCCTGATCTGGATGGCCCAGGCTAGCCCGATCTTGACAAATCTTGGAAGTTAAGCACGGCCGACCCTGGTTAGGACGTGGATGGGAGATCACCAACGAAGTCCAGGGCTGCTTTGCTAAGGTTGCCAGCTCCGGGTTGCCAGCTCTTGGAGGTGGAGCCTGAGGAGGGTGAGATTTGGGAAGAGGCAGGACTTCAGTGGGGTGTGATGCCATAGAGTTCATCTTTCTCCAGGTGAACGGACCTCTGTTGCCTGCAGATCAGTTGTAATTGTAGGAGATCTCCAGCCACCACCTGGAGGTTGGCAACCCAATCTGTGCAGCAGCAAGCAATGGCAAACCACCTCTGTTCATCTTTTGCCCTGAAAACCCTATGGAGTCATCATAAGTCAGCTATGTCTTGATCACAGTTTCCATCACATACAGGGGTGGACGGGGCTGCTAAAATGGCCTAGGAGTAAGCTGAGCAGTGTGATCCTGGCAGGAGCTGCTTGGCTGGGACTCAGTCAGTGACTAGGGTCGCTGGTTTGGAGGGGAGGGGCTTCTCCCCCTCCCTTTAACAGAAGTGTCATCTGCAGCCATTAGCAGATGATGATGTGTATCTCCATGCTGGGAGAAGATGTATTTGCTTGTTTCTGCAGGGTAAGCAGAGGAGGCAGGCCGGCCGGCCTTTTTCTGGCCAGTTGGTAATTCTATCAGTGCTAATGATTTAATGATGACTGCTGCCCTCTCCTACACTGCTGCTGGAAAGCCTCCCATCCTGTTTTGCCTCGTTGAGGCATTTTGTGTTAATGAGTGTGCAAACAAGTGCCTCAAACAGGGGAGCTGTTTTTGTTGCTCAAATTGTCACATTTTGCTGCATGGAGGCACAGCTGTCATGTGGTCATCATAATGCCTCAGCACACATGCCCAGTATCTTTGACTAGTGACAGAATTCACTTCACTTGGCAGGGTATTAACTATGGCTGATTCTGCATTGACTTTTCCCTTCGTTGCTTTACAAAACCCACGTTGTAACAGAAATTCCCTTCTCATTGCATGCTGCTTTCACTCCCTCTGATCCTCGGATTTTTATGGTAGCCTCCACACTCCATGCTGCTTTTGCTTTCTTTGATTATCAGATTTTATTGTACCTTCTGCCTAAATTTATGACCATTTTATGGCCATTCAGAGGTGACTTTGCAGTCAGTACGGTGTTGCCCCGAGGTATTTGAATGTGGTTTTGAGCTGCACTTTTCCCTCCAAGTTGAGAAAATGTGGAGTGAATGCTAGACGCAGAATCACCATACGTTTTGGGAGGCAGTATGGACATGTAATGATACCGTAATATCTACAGTGGGAGAGACTGAATACTCCATTATTCCTAGTTCTACAGCTACTTTGCAGCAGGGCTATTTTTGGGCAGGAACGCACAGGAACAGAGTTCCGGCTGGTTCCCAAGTTGGCCACGCCCAGCAGGAACTCATTAGCATAATAGGCCACACCCAACAGCAGGAACTCATTAGGATTGGCTACATTAGGGGTGTGTGGCCTAACATGCAAAGGAGTTCCTGCTACAAAAAAAGGCCCTGGGTTTTGACAACAAACAAGGTAAACAGAATAACAAGCAAAAGGTGGGTGTGGCTGGATGACCACACTTCTGGTAACATGTGGGTGCGGCCTAATGTGCTAATGAGCTGTGCGGTCAGGGGTGTGGCCCAATATGCTAATGAGTTCCTGCTGTTGGGTGTGGCCTATTATGCTAATGAGTTCCTGCTGGGCTTTTTCTACAAAAAGAGCCCTGCTTTGCAGTATGGCAGATTTTTCATGATAGCTTGTACTCTCCGCATCTACAAGTCCCGTCCCCCCCTGGTTTGGGCCTGAATATCATATCACACAGTCTCTAAGCCTCTAATTTGTGAGGTAGGTCAATATGAAGCTAGTTGTGGGCAACTGCAGGGAATGGGCCTCAGTTGCTGCTACAGAACATGCTCTATTCTGAGTGTGTTTGGTAGCATTTAGAGGTAAAATCTGACATGAGGCTTTTTCTGACACTACACTGGCCAGGTCTCGCCACTGGGGCTTGGTTTGTGCTTGATTATCAGTGGCCCTCTGGGATACCAACCTAATGGGAAATTGAAAGGGCCAGTCCACCCTTGGGCTTGTGTGGATTGGCATTCGTGTTGGCAATTGCTATGAACTTACATGACATCGTTTCAGGAAAACCCTTTGTTTGTACTTCTTGCAATATGAAGAATTGAAAACAGCTGACTCCCCCCTTCCCTAAGCGTGACTGTTTTTGCTGAACTACAAGCCTGCTTGAGAAATGAGTCAATTAAGAATGGCTTTGGTGCCTTATGAGTAGTTCAGGTCTTCCCCATGACTTTCAGAAAGGCACGTGAATGCAGAAGGGATGGCTGGAAAGAACCTTTCTCGTTTTTGGTTTTGCATGCCAGCAGAATCTACATCTGTTACCTCCACCCACTTTTCCTGTACACTGCAGGGTTGCCAGTCTCCAGGTGGGATCTGGCGATCTCCTGGGATTACATCTGATTTCCAGATGACCAAGATCAGTTCCCTTGGAGAAGATGGCTGTTTCAGGGTGTGGACTCCATATTAGCATCACATTCCTGTTGGGGTCCCCTCCCCTCCCCTAAACTCTGTCCTCCCCAGGCGCCACCTCCAAACCTCCAGGAATTCCCTGAGCTGACAAACCTGTGGACAAGTAAAGCTTCTTACTGTTCCTTTTTCAGCATTCTGTAGCAAAAATTGTGGCCATCCATGATTATGAGAGAAAACTGTACAAGGCATACTTTCCTTCTGAACTCTTTAATCCCTCCCCCCTTACATGTCTAGATGCTCATACACAACCTAACACCGAGCCCTTAATATTTGGTTGTAAGAAGGCAGCACAAAAATGACAATGAAAAAACTTTACGGGAGACTGAAGGTTGTACTTCACTGGCATCAAATGGAGCCCTGGCTGCTGAAACACAGCATAGGGAATCTTGCACTGAATAGAGAGAGAGAATTGTCAGACTGAACCGCAAATCAAGGAGGCTGAAAATGCGCAGGGTACCCACACTAACAGCAGCAAGCCATTAAAGGCACTCTTTATGCTGATGTCAGAAGCAGCGGTCCATTTAACTCTGGCTAGCTCAAACAGCTGTGAGCTTAGAGGAGGATATTTTGGGGAAGGGCTGCAAATTGTGCTCCTCCAATTTTCTGCAGGAAGACTCCTGGCTTGTCATGTCTAATAGCCATTACTAGACCTGTCTTCCATGAACTTGTCTGATGCCCTTTTTAAAGCCATCTGTTACCCTTCCTACTAGAGAGGGTCCCCCCCCACCACTAATTAGCTCTGTTCAGCAATGCACTTTGAAAGTTGCTCACATTGATGTAAACCACCTAAGCATATCTCTTGGTTCCACCAATAACTACAAAGTGGGATGTAGTTAAGTGTGCTTAAATCCATTGTAGCCTGTGCATTTAACATAATTTTTATTGTTGGAAAAGTTATGACTGCAGTGTTTGGCTGAAAGAAATTCAAAATTAAATCTCCGCAAAATGTCAGCTGTGCCAGTTTAAGCTGTTACTTTTAATTACTTAATTAAAAGGGTAAAAGCAAGGTGCATTTCTACTGCTTGGGTGGTATCATTTAAAATTGGACTGGACATTCAGCAAGTTCCAAAGACCTGCTTTTGTGTACATTTAAGGTTAATTGGAAAATTATTTTGATTCTTCAAAATAACTGGAGTACTGTTATTAGCAAGCATTGTCCTTTTGTTGAAGAAATGGGCTTTGTGCCTTCAAGATGTGTACTCTTATAACAATGTTCATGGCAGATCTAGAACCAGACAGCTGGCCATGGCTCAATGGTTGAGCTCCTGCTTTGCACGCAGATGGTGCTAAGTTCAGTGCCTGGCATGGCCAATGTTCCCTCTAAGCTGTGAAGTCTTGTGAGCAAAAATTCTACTTTGTGAGCTTCTGGCATTAAAGTTGTGAGCGAGCGATTTGGCTCCTGCATCAATGAGTTTGCTCTGTAGCGATCCTTCCTGAGCTAAGGCAAAAATGTGTGAGCCGGAGGCTAAAAACCTGTGAGCTAACTCATACTAACTCAGCTTAGAGGGAACACTGGGCATGGCTAATTAAAGGATCTCATGTAGAAGATGTTGTGGAAGGCTCTTT